CTCCCGCCCGCCCGCCCGGGCCCGCCCCGCGCTGGGAATTTACAGCGGCCTCCGCCAGGCCAGCTAAGCTGAGCCGGTCTCTTCCTCGGGAACGCAGGGCTGAGGTGCCCGCAGGGCAGCCATGGAGGCGGCGCGGAGGCGGCAGCACCCGGGAGCGGCTGGGGGCCCAGGCGCGCAGCTGGGCGCCTCCTTCCTGCAGGCCAGGTGGGCGCGTGCCGGCCGGGGGGAGCGGCGGGCTCGAAGCCTGGGCACCGGGGCCTCGCCACGTGACGCTCCGAGGCCGGCGGGGCCTGAACCTCGTGTGCGGCCCGGGCGGGGGCGAAGCGGAGCGCGGGGGCTCGGAGGCGCACTCCCTAGCGGCGGTGCCCCAGCGTTCCCGTCTCTGCCTGGGGACCCGGGGGCCCAGCGAGGCTCGGCTTCCCCGCTTTGCCGTGGCTGGGGTGGCAGGAGCCCCCGCCCGGAGTTTGGGGTTTCCTCCCTTCCCGCGCTCCCCTGCGACCCAGGGGTGGGGGGGCGCCCGGACAGCCGCTGCGCTGGGAGAGCTCTCCAGGGGCTGGGGACACACACACACACCTCGTCACTCGGGGCCCCAACTTATCCGCAGGTTCCGCTGCCGCCTCCGCGTTCTCGGGATCTCCCCAGCCCTGAGGAGGACCTGATTCTGCCGTTAATTAGGAGGCTCCCTGCTTGACCTGGGGTACCCAAGAAAGTGCTAATGTAATGGAAGACAGCGGAGAAGGGTGGAAGCTCCCGTCCAGAGAATGAATGAGGAGCCCTTCTCACCAAAGGGGCCAAGTTTTTGGTGTATCTAGTTGGCATGAGCAGAGCTCCATTCTACTTTCGTCCGGTTTTACTGATAAGAAACATTCACTGCATTCAGCAGGCATTCTTTAAGCGCCTGTGGTGTGCCTAGCTGTGCCAGGAACTAAGGGGGTGGGCAGGGTGAAGGTAGGAGAGACTTACCGTCCAGTAGGGACCAGGAGAGACAGAGCCCAAGTGAGGGTGAGAGGTCATCTTGCAGGGCTTCATGGAGGAAGTGGCACTTGAACTGACTCTCAAGAGGATTCAGTAAAGGACCCAGGGAAGACAGGCTGTTCCATCCAGCCAGGGAAACAGTGGAGAAAGGTCACGTTGGCCCAGGTCAAGTTTAGTGGTGCTGGAACTTTCCAGCTGTAAAAGAAAGTGACAGGAGGATACAGACTGACTGTGAAGGACCTTTAATTGCAGCAAGTCTAGGACTTGAGTGAGGCCTAGAGTGCACTTGCGCTGGGGACGGGCGCACAGCCCTGACAGTGAGTGCTGCCCCTAATGTTGGGCCCTGGGGGCCTCACTTGGCTCACCCTAGTTCCTGTCCTAGGTGACCGGTTAAGGACACAGTCTTTATCCCATAGGTACTGGGGAGTCATGGGAAGTTTCTGAGCACTGGCACGCACAGAGTCCATGTGAGGAAATTTGTGGTACGACTTGGATGGGGGGTGAAGTCTGCCCCCCACAGCATGGCCTCAGCCCATTTGCAGTATCATTGCTCTCAAAACAGTAGGCAGAATCATCCTGTCCAGTTCCTAGGATGCTTGGATTTCCTCTGCTGCATCTGTGCTTTGCTCACTACCTCTTAAAGTAATCCATTCCAGCTTCCACCTGCTTTGTTGCCAATTTTTGTATTATAATGAAAGTATTTAATTAGGCCAGATGCCATGGCTCATGCCTGTAATCCCAGCACTTTGGGAGGCCAAGGTGGGTGGGTCACTGGAGTCCAGGAGTTTGAGACCAGCCTAGGCAACATTGAGAATCGCCGTTCCTACTAAAACATAAAAATTATCTGGGTGTGGTGGCCCACCCCTGTAATCCCAGCTACTCAGGAGGCTGAGGCACCAGAATCACTTAAGCCTGGCAGCTGGAGGCTGCAGTGAGCCGAGACCGTGCCACTGTACTGTAGCCTGAGTGACAGAGTGAGACTATATCTCAAAAAAGAAAAAAGAGAGAGAGAGAGAAGAAAAGA